TTCTGGTAGTACTGGACTTGAATACTCACAATGTCCATTCCCTATTAAATCTTCCAACCAAGGCCATTGTTAGTTACCATTTATCATTGGCGCTTATGGTGTCACTTGCCCACTTTACTCATTTATGATAACCGTTCGGTCCTGGAAGGCATTGAGGTTTATCTGATGCAAGGTATTGAAAATGTTCATGTTCTTTGACTTGGTAGTCAACGTCTAGGAATCTACCCTAAGGAACTAATTAGAGATACCAATGGAGATTTATATACAAGGCTATTCATTACAGGGTTGTTTATATAATAGCAAAAAAATGCAGAGAGCCTAAATGAAAATATCCAGGTATGCTAAAATACAATGGTGTTATTTAAAAATCACACTTAAAAGAATATGACATGGGAAATGTTCTTTATAAAATAAAAAGCAGGATATGAAACCGTTTATACAGTATTATGCCAGACCTTTATAAATCTTTTTCAACTCCTGGAAGAAATTTCAGTAAAATACCAACAGTATTAATTCCAGTTTTTAATTTTCTTTTGTATATTTTTCTGTACTTTATGAATTTCTACCATGAGTTACTGTTATGATCAAGAAAATTAAATATCTTGAAATATTTAAGAATGCTCTTGAACATATTTTCTGATATTAATATTTTCTGAGATGTAAAAAATTATACATGAGTCATTTGGGGATATACTCTGCATACAAAGAGACATATTTTACACATACACTTATACACACTTCATTCTTTTTGCTAGGAATAAAATAAAATCATAAAATAAAACTTTTCATTCTTTTTGCTAGGAATTGTGTACTTTGACAGCAGAATGCTACCTGCATATCATATGGTTTAAAGTGACAGAGGAAATGATTGAAAGGTGGTAACCAGCTATTGACTTTTAGAGTTTATAGGTGTTCAATTTGGATAGTACTCCTAAGGAGAAAATCCTTAAGACTACCAAAAAGAAGGCAACAGTATCAGCGGTCCTAAAATCGTTGATGCTGTGTTACGGATCTAACATGTTTTAAGAGCTTGTGTTTAATTACTCTTCGGAAAGTTCTCCTTTCTTTATAACTTTAGTCATTATAATGAATTATTTCAGGATGCCGTGAATAGATAAGCTCAGATTTTCCACTTGCGTAATGAGGATATTTAGAAGAAATATAGATAGGTATTTTTCTGGCACCAGTTTCAGGAACTTGCTGACCTAATTATTTATCTTTTGTTTAGTTTGACCAAGCGGCTGATGCTGAGTTGTCCTGGATTACTGAAACAGAAAAGAAATTGATGTCTCTGGGTGACATCAGGCTTGAGCAAGACCAGACCTCTGCTCAGCTGCAGGTTCAAAAGGTGAATAAGTACATTTCCAATTGGCATCTAAATTATATGCTAGTCTAGAAAATGTGCTTACACAATTTGCTTTGCAAGATCCCACTAGTGTGACTTGGTATTTTCAGCGACTTTATTTAATTTTTAACTACTTTGCCTAATTTTCAACTACTTTGCCTAATTTTCATTTTATTCATACATTCTCTGTTTTATAATCTTTATTTCTATAAATCACAGACATTCACCATGGAGATTTTGAGACACAAGGATGTTATTGATGAACTAGTTAAATCTGGACATAAAATCATGACCACGTGCAGTGAAGAGGAAAAGCAGTCAATGAAGGTATGATCTTGTCTGTGTGACTGGTAGTGACAGTCTTGAATAAACGGCACATACTGAGCTTTCAGTCCTAGAAAACACTTCTCCTTTATTCACAGCTGCCATTTAAAGAGCTAAATCATCAGTTTCAAATGAGGCATTTTTCAAGCTTACAGAATAACAGTGAAAGGAATATTCCTTAAGAGAATCACTCTGGGGACAATCTTTTTTAATATACAGAAAAGCTATTAAGGTCTGAGTCCTTGAATAACTGGCACACATTAAGCATTCAATTAATGTTAGCTGTATTGTTGCCATTATTATCAGTATAAATTGTTATTATATATGTCAACTGTCGTTCACATGCCTCAGAAACATTTGGGCCTCGTTAGCTGAAACAAAAACCAAAACATATAGTTCTCTCTAATCTGATATCCATTCTGTATAAAGTTACAACATGCTGTATAGGGAAAAAATTAGTTGTTGAATGATTAAGGAAGCATCCAGTTCATGTAGTTTAAATGATTCTTTAGACTAATGGAAAACCAGCCTCAGTAAAAATGTTTAGTTCAATTCATATTCAGACATCTGAACAGCCTAAAGAAATTAACGCTTCTAGTAGGAAAATATCCCATGGCAAAAGCAAGATTATACCAATGCCTATGCCTAAGATTATATTTTAAACAGTATACATTGCTTTTAAGGTATAACATAGACAAAGTAATTTAATGTACACTATGTAATGATACTTACTTTGTCTTATATTTATACTCTAAAATGGCAGTTTACTCATTGATAATTTAATGTTTCCTTTATTTTTGTAAAGATTCTGACATGAAAACTATAGATCGTGAAACAATTTCTGTGTAATTCTGTGGTTTATTAGATTACTATCTTCTGCTATTAGTTTATGATGCAAATTTATACCATAATCTAGATCACTGTGACCAATCCCTAAAGTCAGTGGATAGCATAATGTTCTACTTTGATTCTAATATACGTAATTAATTTTGCCGACTAGCAGTTCCCCTTACAATTTCATTGGTGAAAGGTAGTCCTTATTTTTTTCAGAATGCAGTGTAATTGTTACTAGACTCATGAGACTTGTTTTCTAACCTAGAAGACATTGTAAGAATGGCTGGAAATTTCTGCTTATTGTGTTTGGAGAGTTTAGTGTCTTACTCATAAAATCCTGAGGACTTGCTTGCTTATTATTTATTTATTTATTTATTTATTTATTTATTTGTATTTGTCACTTAATATTTTTTGAGATGTTTTCTGTCATTAAATTCCATGGTTTTTGATGATTGCATAGAATTCCATTGTATGAATATATTACACTAAATCAGCTTGATCTCCAGTGGTTGTACTCTTAAGATGTTCCATATTTTTGCTATTTTTACATATGTATATATACATTTTTTTTTTATTGTGGTAAGAACACTTAATGTTAGCATACAGAAGAATATTATTCTGCCTTAAAAAAGAAGGAAATCTTGCCATTTGCAACAACATGAATAAACCTGGAAGGCCTTTCTATAATTTAAAATGAACTGTTTTATACATAGAAACAGTTAAAACCTAAATAGCTTTTATTGATTTATTCATTTAACATACATTTATTGAGTGTCTACTCTGTACTAGGAGTATAGTGCCGGACAAAGCAATCTTCAGTACATGTTCCACTTGACCTGCTTGATCAGTTAAACACATTTTATCATCTTAATTTCTAGAAAAAACTGGACAAGGTATTGAAAAACTATGACACCATCTGCCAGATAAACTCCGAGAGGTATCTACAACTAGAACGAGCTCAGTCCCTGGTTAACCAGTTCTGGGAAACCTATGAAGAACTTTGGCCATGGCTGACAGAAACACAAAGAATCATCTCTCAGCTTCCTGCCCCAGCCCTTGAGTATGAAACTCTAAGACAGCAGCAAGAAGAACATCGGGTAAGCTTGGTGTCAAAAAAAACGTACTGTTCACCACTAAAAGAGAATTATGATTTTTATGGTGTTTTTTAAAATGCGGTTAGACACCTTACATGACTAGGATGTTTTAGCAGTATTGTGTTCTTCTTGTCTGTATAGTTTACTTATCTCATAGTTACTTACCTGTTACCCAGGTTTACAGTGGGAAGACTTATGTGGGTAGATCACACTGTGTATGCCATTATATCACAGCTTTTATAGACTAGTATGCAATATAAACTGTCTGGGTACAAAATCAAAATTTCCATTTATTATGTTAGAGAAATCAGTTTTTAAAGTACTTTTAATTTATGAATGTGAATTGCTTTCAATTTACACATGTTGACCAAGATTTATACTATATATATAGTGATGGGAGCAATTTAGAATGTAAGCAAAAAGTAGAAATATGTAGAAGTGACATCACACAAACAAGGCCATATATTGGAGAAAATGTACAATGTAACAAATATGTCAAGATAACAATATCATGAAAGCTAACTCTATGAAAAGGAAAAATGCTATAGTATGAAGACAAATTTTTTCCTTTTTTTTTCACCTTATGTACATGGAACTCTTTTGCAATTCTCTGTTCCTGTAAGCATGCATGAGTAAACTAGAGAGTATATTCATGGACGAACCTATCATGTGTTTTAAATATATATATATAAAATGGCATTATGAAGCCCCCATTCCAGCAGTCATTTAAATATTAGCACAACTTAAAATTTTGCAAGGGTTTGAGTGAGAGAGGATTCAAAACTGTCAGAAAAAGTCTGGAGTCCTTGCTGTTTATGGACTTGTGAACCTAGCTGCTCTCCCAGATCTGTACAAGATATACTCTGAGACTAATCATTATGTGTGTGCAGACACACACGTGCGTGTGTGTAAAGTTTAACCCAGAGTATATTACATCATTGTTTGAAATATGTGACATAACCTATTAATCTTGTTTGCTTACTTTTTTAAAGTATTGGCATTGAAGAATATCTCTAACTGAAGTATTTATTTAGAGGAGAGCTTTAGAGAACACTTTATTTAATACAAAATGGAAATTTTATGGAGTTCTGTCTAAATCATTCAGCAGG